TTAGCAGAGTTTTTGGCTTTTTAGTGGATCATCAGATGTCAAATCATGGGTTAATAGCGGATGTTTAGATTTTAACCGAATTTTATCGACTTTTTAATTAACAAATTTTAATTGAAACCAAACTATACACATATTACCAAATCTCTTGGTTCAATCTTGGGTCAGGATTGGATACGAAAACACTGCTTAAAAAATAAACATTATAAATTATAATAGAACAAATTTTTTAATCACTAATAAAAAACTTTCAAATTTTTTATTTTCTAATACAGGTTATAAATTTAATCAATTTATTAAAATTGAAAAAAAAATAAAAATTTATTTTTTTAAAGCGCAGTTCAAAGCGTTGATCAAAATCTAGTTGATAGTTAAAAAAATATAAGGCAAGACCAATAATAATATTTAGTTAATGAAAGGGTGCACTAACCTGTTTAAGTAGATTTTGGGATGGTTCTCTTTTAATAGTATAGGTTATGTTAATTAAATGAGAATTCGGCCAAAAAAAGCTCCAACTTTACATGAATTGCCAAAACAAACAATATATTGGCTGGCCAAAAAAATACTGAACAATATTTGACTTTTAAATTTTAATAGTAAGTTATCATTGACTTTCCAATTAAACACTCCGTTAATAAATTTGACAGAAGGATTGAACACCGTTTGTTAAGATCTGTTAAGTAAACCGACGTCGTTTTGCGTTGGGATGAAACGACGTCATTTTACCTATTTTTATTATAAAAACATGTCGATTGCGTGGGTTGAACCTGAGAACTCATGGCCAAATTTGAGGTTTCTTGCCACTGTGCTACAAATACTATTAAGGAAATCTCTAACATGTTTTGTTTTATTGAGTATCAAAAAAATCTTGAAAAATCTAAATTATTTTTTAAAACTTCCAAAAAATCTTAAAAATTCAAGAAAATTCTGAAAAGGTAAAATTAAAATTGAAATTGCAAATAATTTTTTGTTTAAAAAATCAAAACATTAAAAATTTGAAAAATTCTAAAATAATTCAAAGAAATGCAATGAATTAAATTTAATGATTAAAAAAATTGAAACCTACTTTTATATAAATTTATGTATGTAAGATAAAATAAAAAAATGATATTCATCACACTATAAATTTTTTATGAATAATGTATTTAAGATAAAATAGAAATGATAATTAAGATAAAATAAACAAATAATATTATCACAAATTGTTTTGCTAAAATATGATATTGAATGAACATACAACAAAAAATAAAGATTTATATACATTACTAGTTAATAATTAAATAAAAAAACATTTGTAGTTTTTGGTGTATGTTGGTTTGTTATCATATCTTAGCAACAATTTTTTTTATTGTTTTTAAAAAACAAAAATTGTATTAAAACATATAGTGTGATAAATATCATTTTTGTGTTTTATCTCAAATATATTAATTTATAAAAAACAAAAAACGTCCAACAAATTAAAAAATAAAAAAATCTCAAAAATGAAAATGAAAAAATGAAAATTAATGATTAAAATAATTTGCTCTTATATAAATGAATGCATGCAAGATAATAGGCACAATTATATTTATCACAATATATTTTTTGTATGACTAATGAATTAAAGATAAAATACACAAATGATCTTAGATACATTAATTTGTATATACAAAATATTTTTTTAAAGATTTTAATCATTAGTTTTTTTGTCATATTTTTAATCATTAGTTTTCACATTTTTGGATTCTTTAGATTTTTATGAATTTTTTAATTAATTTTAGAGAAAAATAAATTTTAGTTGTATTTTACTTTTTTATTTTTTATTTTTTATTTTTTATTTTTTATTTTAATATTTTTAGAATTTTATTGATTTTTTGAATTTTGTAAAATTTTAAGGTTCTTAAAGATTTTTTGGATACTTAATAAAAGGAAATATGTTTGAGATTCATCAAAAGTGTCGTTAGCTTGGTGGCGAAAGAGCATGTTGTTTGGTTTCGAGTTCTCGAGTTCGAGTCCTCAGATAAACATATTTTTCGTTTTAAAAACATACAAAACGACGTCGTTTCACTTAACATTGATATTTAACGTCAAAATAACGGCGTCTACACGGTAAGATTGACGGTGTACTAAAATGGCGAGTCAATGATAAGTTCTCAAATAAAATTAAAAAGTCAATAAAAGTACAGTATTTTTTTGGTCAGCTTCGAGTTCAGGTTTTATTTGGCAATTCGTGCAGAGTTCGTGATTTTTTTGGCCGAATTCCCTTAATTAAATTGTGTTTTTATAATGTTTTATGGGAAAATGTCATTTAAATCATGAACTTTCAAATTTGGTTGAAATAAAACACCAACTTTCTCGTAAGCCAAAAAAACACTCAACTTTTGTTGACAAGCCATTTTAATCACAAACTTTAGTCGACTATACCATTTTAGTCATATCGTTAGTCAACAGTTATAATTGACTAACGGTATGCATAAAACGACATTTAAAGTTGATGATTTTTTTGGCACAAATATAAATCAACATTTTTCTATATAAGAAGATTAGAATGACTCCAATTTATGGTGATATTGCTAGAATGACTCATATTTTTTTTCAAATTATTAGAATGTTTTCGTGGTCAGAATTACCCTTGGCTATAGTTATACCAAAAAAAAAGGTCCCTCAAATTAGGTCGTCCGCAGATTTAATTTGGGGAAAACAATAATGCCGAACAACAGAGCTTTTAAAATTGTCTATCATATGACACAACAGATTTGTCTATATTTTGTCTGATTTGTATAAAAAAAATTGATTTCTTAAATATGTATGTCGGATGACACAACAGATTTGTATCAAACCATATATTTGTGCGGTCGACTTAGTTTCCAAAGGCAGACTTGTTGAATTATGACCGATTTGTATAGAAAAGCTATTCTTCCTACGGTAGACTTAAGGCAAATCTATCACAGATTTACAATGTTGCAGACTTGTTGCATTACGACGTGGCCGACTTGTTAGTTTGCGTAGTGGCAGATTTGTTTAATTATCCTGGGTTTTAATAAACCAGTAGAAATTAAATTCGGATTGAATCCCGGTTTACTCCAATTAATCCGATTTTGGTTTATTTTGAACTTTGTTTATTTCTAGTGGTTTAAGACCACAATTAGGGATAATTATTTTTGTAGTAACTGTCGTCATCTCGTTCACCCCTCTTTTCTTCTTTCTCAAGTTCTTCCTTTCATGGTGGTTTGAACACTTTCTTCCATCCTTTTTGCTTACAGAAAAATGGATCACATCATTTTGGTCTGTGGGAAGTGGAAATTCGAGAGGAAGAAGTGGTTATTTGAAGTGGACAATGAGCAAGATAGTAAATTACTCATACCTAATGAGAAAACTACATATGAGAATTTTGTGAAGAGAGAGAGAGAGACCTGTGTTCATCGAGATAGAGAGACCCGTGTTCTGTTTTTTTTTATATTTCCTTTTCCCTTAATCTCTTATTTTCTCCTTTTTTCTTAATTATTTTTTTTTCGTTACAAAATGAGAAAATTGTGTATTAGTCAATTTCCATGTATCAAAACAGGGTCTAGTATTTAAATTCTTATATGAGTCATTCTAGTCATTTGAAGATCAATTTGGGTCATTCCAAGTAATTTCTCTTTAGATATTGAAAAAAATATTTTAATACTATAACACTAATAAAATTATAAATAAAAAATAGTTCCAACCAAAAATATAAACAACAATCAATGTAAAATAATTAGTTAACATATCATTAGTTGAGTGTTCTTTAATTATTAATGTTCATTTTTGTAAATATTTATATAATCCTATTTGGATTACATTTTATAATTTTATTTTCAAAAAGTTTGTAATGAAATATTAATTCAACTCTTAATTCTTAAACTTAAAAATATATCGGTTAATGGATTCTTCATGATTCTTTATATTTATAATAACGATCTTCAAAAATATATATAATTTCTATAAATTTGTTACAAGAATTTTTCTGCATTTAACGAAAAATAAGTTTCATCAAAAATTTTAAACATCTAAATTGTCCCCACATCCAAAATGAAAACTCTTGACATCCAAGTTTAAACATTTTGGATCTCAAACCTTTTTGGTGAAAATTATTTTTCTTTAAATGCAGACAAAAAATATGTAAAAAATTTATAGAAATTATATAGATTTGTTTAAATATATTTATTATAAATATAAATAATCATGAAGAATCTATTAACTGATAACTCTTTTCATTTCAGAATAAAGAGTTAAATTAATATTTCACTAACAAATTTTTGAAGATAAAATTATAAAAAGTAATCCAAATAGGATTATATAAATATTAAAATATTAATTGTAAATAATTAAAATATTTGTCATAATCATTTTTAACTAAAATACTTAATTAATGATATGTTAACTAATTATTTTACAATGAGTTTTGTTTATATTTTTGGCTATAATTATTTTTATTTATAGTTTATTTCTTAGCGTTATAATTATTAAAAATTTTTTTTTCAATATTTAAAATATATCTAATTGTTTAAAAATGTTGATTTATATTTGTGCCAAAAAAATAACTTTAAAAGTCATTTAGGACATACCATTAGTCAACTGTAACTGAATTGTTGACCAAAGATATGACAAAAATTTTATGGTGGACGAAAATTTATGATTAAAATGGCTTATCAACAAAAGTTGAATGTTTTTGGCTTACGGAAAATTTGGTACTTTATTTCAACTAAATTTAAAAGTTAATGATTTAAATAACATTTTTCCCAATGCAAAAAAAAAATCAAAATTAGATTTGTAGAGGAAGTATAGAAGAGATAGGAAGAGATAAGAGAGAAGGTGAATTTGGTTAGTTGGTGAATACTAAGTTTTTCTAAGGTTAGTAGGTGCATTCCCATGTTTTAATTTCGATGGAGTCAAAAGAGAAAATTTAGTGGCCAAATTTTCAAAAATCATACCATTTTCTTATAAAAGTTTACAATAAATGTGAAATAAAGTAATAGCAAATTTGAGAATATCGTTCTATATAATGTTTAAGGGATTTTGATATTAATCACCAATACAGATAAGTGAAGGTTTAAAATCTGTTCAAAAGGAACGCTGAAAAAGAGCCTGTGGTTGATAATGTTTACGTACAAGTTTCTTAAAAGAATACCGAGTATGAACACAATTGAAAGTTGGCAGATTGCACTTGTGTCAGATGCTCATCATTTGCAAAAAAAAGTTAAAGAAGAGGAGAATGACAACTTGTCTCACAGAAGAAATGTCAACAGGGTATGAAAAAGAGACTTAGGCTGAATAAGTTTCCGCGAAGAAATATTTGAATTCAAGAAGCCTTGATGATTGCCTTTCTGCTTTCCCTTCACCAAACACACACAGAACCAAAGATTTCACATATGTATGAAAGGAAGCATAAGTTAAGCAGCAACGTGAATAAGATTATGTACCTTTGTAGCGTCCTTGAGAGGTCCCCAACACTCAATCCGGTTGTATTTAGGTGTTCTTGAATGGAAATAGACCCATACATAAGCATCCATAAGCTCAGGGTTCTCTCTAAACATGACTGAATCTCCATAGACCACAGCTTTTAACACCTAAGAACCAAACGCCAAAGAGTTAAAGACCATTTCTCCATTTCTTGTGTACCAATTTGAAAGAAAAAAAGAAAGAAGACTAACCAAAGGCAGTTCCTTGGAGAATATGTGATACCGTAGCTCTGCAGCCATATCCTGCAATAAACTAAGACCACTAACACAACAATGAATATGTAAACGCATCTCGTCATTCACCTTCTTCCACTCCGCAACCACATCATCTTTCTTGTACCAGCCTTCTAGTTGATCCAAGTTGATGACGTTTGAGATGGTTAAGGTCAAGTTAGCAGTGAAGTCACAGTGTGAAAGAATATATGTGCGAGGTGTTATAATCCCTCCAATAGCTTTATTCTCCAATAGGTCCCCTAAGAACTCCACTTTGAGCTTGGAGAAATTAACGTTTGCTTGTGGAACTAAAAGCCTCACAGCCTAATTCACAATCATTCAAATTCACAATCATTAATTTTCCTATAATAGTCCGATCGAGTACATAGAGTTTCGCAATTCGCCTTTCTCAGTACACAAATCTTCTAACATTAAGTGAAATTTTTTTTTTAAAAGATCTTTGGCTCACCTCGGAAACAAAGGTATTGTAGGAGATACCACCATCGCTAATGGCGGAACTTCGAGGAACCCGAATTCTTGTTTTCAGGAGCTTGCCACTGATGAATTTTCGATTGGGACGAAACAGAAGAGGTTTGTGGGAATAAGGAAGGATGTGACAGGCCATGAAAGGAACATAACAACAGGGTTAATGCATAAGTTGATTCTTCTTCATTGTTCAGCTTCCACCGTTTTTTCCTTCCGAGCGAGAGATGTGGGAGAGAGAGGATGTTATTTAAAAGACACACAGCCACAATTGAGTTTCTCTGCGGAGCTTTATTCTTCACACAATCAACAATTTACCATTTCATTTTAGATTTTCTCCGAATATTATTATTTCCTTATACCAGATGTTATGATTGGTTGTTTGAGTTGAGCGTTTCTCCACGTAAGAAATCCTCTCAGTATAAATTGAATACGGCCCAATTATTATTTTTACTTTGAGTAAGAGCTTTCTCCGGAAAAAGTGCCTATTCCACCCTGAACAAGTTTGATCATGCCAAAAACACTCTAAACTAAAGCACAGTGCCGATTCCAACCCAAACATGATAGAAATTCGAAAAACCCACCTGAACTCATAAATGTTACTCAATAAAGGACCTTAACTAACACAAGTTTAGTTCACTGTTAAATAATTGTTACGGTGATATACAACGACACGTTTTGCTCATTAACAAAAAACGATGTCGTTTTGTCTCGGGATTAAAATCACAACATTCCACTTCTTCTTCCCCGATTCTCTCGACATAAAACTAAGAATCCTAAAACTCAGAGACATAAAGAAACCAGAAGTAGTGTTGGTTAGAGTTATTGTAAGAGAAACAAGTGTTAAAAACTTCATATCAAAATCAATCGCCAATTGTGAGAATGTAGTAGAAGCTAAAATGAGATATTTTCATCAATTTATTCAAAGATTATATTTGATGTTAAGCAAATCCGACCTTTGAAACTCATTTTTTATGTATTTAGAATAGTTTATGGTAGATTATGTATTTATCTGAACTTGATTTTGATTAATATAAATTTTGATTTTATATGCACACCAAGTGTTCGTTAAAATGACTAAATGTGTTAAATTTTGTTAATTGTATTTACAGGGAGTGGGAAATTGTCACGTTTAGTGTGAATCATGGTGGGTATTGGGTTAAGAACCTGGCAGGACACGTTAGTTATATTAGTGGCGAGGTTAAAACTCTCGAAGGAAAACCGGAGGATCTTTATGTTATGCTTGGAACTGAGTTTACGCAAGGATTGGATGGGCAGAGTTTGTGGTATAAGTTACCATTTGAAGATCATAAAGATCAGAAGATACTGAGTAATGGGGATCCTAGTTTTAGAAGGATGTGTGATACATGAAAATGGACAGGCGTTGTTAATGTGTATCTAGTGAACACAATAGAGCATCCGTGTGATGGGGAGCAAGCTGTTGCATTTGATGAAGATATTCGGGTTGAAAGGAATGTGGCTGGTTTTGTTGATGAAGAAGAAGATTTTGACTACCATAACACGCCACCAAACTCTGATGGGGAAGAAGAAGAAAAAGAGAGCTTTGTAAGATTCAGAAGAGGTAGTGGCCATCTTGACTTAAGACAAGTTTTTGACACTATAGAGGAGTTCAAAAATGCCTTGGTAGAGTATGTACTCAAGGAAGGATGGAATATCAAGCTTAACAAATGGGAGAAACTAAAATCTTCGGCTGTGTGTGCGAGTGAAGAGGGCTGTCCATGGAGAATATATTGTTCTTACAAAGAACGAGTTGGAAAGTGGATGGTGAAGACATTTTTTGAAGAACATAGCTGCCAGAAGGATGGATATAGTAAGATTCTAAAAGCTCCTATGATCACGAAGCTGTTCTTGGATGATATTACATGAAACCAAAGGCTATACATTGAGAAATTGAGCAGAGGTTCAATTTAATTACAACAATCTATGTGTGTAAAAAGGCCAAGAGTAAAGCTACTGATATAATCAACCGTGACAATGAAGAAACAGTTCTCAAGGTTGAAAAATTATCGTTTAGCTATCCTTGAGTAACTGAATTATTATTGAATTTTGCATTCCTCAGATTTTTTTTTATTTTTTTACTAATCATTATTAATATTGCAGAACTAATCGTGGATCAACTGTGGAGCTAGACACTGTGATAAATGATGAAGGATCAGAAGTCTTCCAAAGGTTGTACGTGTTTTTTGCAACAATCCGGACCTTATGGTCAATCTGGTGTCGTCCTATCTTCGGACTTGATGGGTGTTTTATGAAATCTACACTGAAAGGACAATTGTTGGCTGCAGTGGGAAGAGACGCCAATAATGGTATGTATCCAATTGCATGGGATGTTGTTGATGTGGAGAATGAGGACAACTGGGTATGGTTTATATCAAAGCTGCAACAAGATTTTAATCTACAAGCGGGTCAAGGTTATACTCTCATATCTGATAGACAGAAAGTATGTGTATAATTTTGATGTTGATGGTTTTCTTAAGTGATATAGTTTGGTTTGATTGCTAACTGGTATGGGTTTTGAAACAGTATTCATGGGCTGTTGAATGCTGTTGAAAGGATATTACCTAATGTAGAGCATAGGATGTGCGCACGCCACATATATATGGAAACTTGAAGAAGTCCTTTCCAAGACAACATGAGATGAAGAATCTGTTTTGGGCAGTAGCTGAGAGTTGCACTACTCTTCAGTATGAAGCTAGTCTTGAAGCTGTTCAACGCTATGATATGCGTCTATATGCAGCCATCATGGAAAAAAATCCGAAGAATTGTAGCCTTGCCTTCTGCTCTCCAACATCATCATGTGTGGATGTGCACAACAATATATCCAGTCATTCAACAATGCTATCGATCCATCAAGATATATGCCTATGGTGGAGATGTTGGGACTATAAGAATATCAGCAATGATATGCATTGACATGAGGAAGAAGATAGCAGCAGATACTACAAGTCGTTATCCTACTCGAGTAATGAAGGTAATCAAGTATGAGCAGGAGAAAATGAAGTATTGTAAGATATTTCCAGGTGGTGATGGTCTATATAAGGTCCGTGAGACTAATGTGTCACATAGTGTCAATCTGAGGTTAACGACTTGTGCATCTCGTAGATGGGATTTGAGTGGAATACCTTGTCACCATGCCTTACGCATCATCGCAGAGAAGAAGCTCAACTACAAAGAATATATCTCAGCTTGGTTCCTCAACTCTAGGCAACAACAGATTTATAGTGACTCAAAAAGACCGGTCAATGGCATGTGTTTCTGGAACAAAACTGGTCATATGGTTATTCCACCACCTAACTTGGTGGATCAAACTGAGAACAGAAAGGGAAGAAAGCCAAAACCAAAGAGAAAGAAGGGAAAGACTGAATCACCAACTAAGAAAAGGAAGGTTAGTAGAGAGAAAAGGACTATGCATTGTGGTATATGTGGGGAAGCTGACCACAATGTCACAAAGTGCACAAATTACATAGGTGTGCCAAAGCACTGGCCCAAAAAGAAGAGAAAAACAAGGACGGGAGAAGATGCACAAGATATAAGAAATTTGCATTTTGGAGAGGGACCAAGTCAAGCAACACAAGACACACAAGACTAGTTTCAGGTACTGAGTCTCAATTTAATTCTGCAACTTGATGTTTTGTATTCACTTTCTTTTTAACTTTATTTTGGTGGTTTGTGGTGGAGTCATGAAGCTCAACTTTTGGCTTGTGGTGTAGGCATGGAGCTTTTTGAACTTGGGTTTTGGCTGCTTCATTTAGTTTGTTTTTTCGTGCAGGAGTGAAGCATTAGCCATCGATCGGTTTCAGACATGTTTTGTTTTGTCATTTGTTGTTTCTTATGAATATCCCTGAATATTGTAATGAAAAATTAGTAATCCAAATTCTTGATTTTTGCTTTGGTATCAGAGATTGTTATATAACTTAATTTCTTAGAATCAAGCACAAATACCATTAATAGGGAACACATCATCAGTTTTACGAGAAAACTACAAATACATCATCAGTTTTACTACAATTACAAACACCATTTAGACACACCAGTAGGTCTTACTACAACTAGAGACACCATTTATAACTCAAACACAACAATAGTCATACTTAGAAGATAAACTTCAAAAACAGAATCATCACCAACACAAACCCGAAATGTTCTTCAAGCTCCGGAGCTGCATTTTGCATTCTTGGACCTCCTTCTCAACAACAGTTTCACACACACGGGTCTCCATTTCCAGATTCTCAATCTCGTTTTCACATTTATTAAGTCTCTTTCGAAATGTCATTGAATCCCCTTCACCGGTTTCCACTTTTTCAATCATATCTTCCATCTCTTCATAAACACTAACATCGATCCATTTAAACGTGTGAAACCAGTCCTGTCAAATTTCAAAATAAACCTATATAAGTACTAAACTCCATATAAACAATCTATGACCTTGATTTTTATTACTCACCCATTCTCTCCCATGAGGACAAGAATGAAAAAAATCGTCCTGGATTTCTTACAGTGTTTGCTGTCCTCATTACCACAGCTTCTCCACATCTACATATCTTAGGAATACCTCTTCCTCGATCTCCCATTTCTCAAATCAAAAATTTCTACACACCCAGACAACATTCAAGCTCATCAATACATAATTACACAAGAGAGACGTTGTGATTTTAACTTACCTTTACACACTTCTGGTTCTTTGTGTCTCTGAGTTTTAGGGTTCTTAGCTTTATGTCGAGAGAATTGGGGAAGAAGAAGGGGAATGTTGTGATTTTAATCCCGAGACAAAACGCATCGTTTTTTTGTTAATGAGCAAAGCGACGTCGTTGTATGTCACCGTAATGGTTATTTGACGGTGAACTAAACGCGTGTTAGTCAAGGTCCTTTATTGAGTAACGTTTATGAGTTCTGGTGGGTTTTTCGAATTTCTATCATGTTTGAGTTGTAATCCGCACTGTACTTTAGTTTATGGTGTTTTTGGCACGATCAAACTTGTTCAGGGTGGAATAGGCACTTTTCCAATATTTTTCCGGGGTACGTCCGGATATTTTCGTATATATTAATTGAGTTTTGAAGAATGATTTTGTTTTAGTATTTAGATTTTTATTATCTAATTGCTCATTTTCTCATTCCTTTGCTGATGTATGTTCGAAAAGTTCATTTGCGAAAACCTCCAATCTGAAAGTATTATACCTATTTGGACCATTCATCTATTCATGGTGGGAGCCGTTGAAGGGCTACAGAACATGAAATGGACTTTTGGGAGATGAAATGAGTGTATTTCCTCTATTATGTTTACTTCATCAAAGATATTTTAGTTTTTGTAATTTAGAAATTGTTTACTGTTGAGAAAAAAAGGAAATTGTTAACTAATATAAATAATTGTAATTTTTTGAAGTTTATTAGTCGAATTGGTTTTGATTAACTGAAACCGGTTATTAGTTACACTGAAATGAAAAATTATTTATAAATTTCTGTAACTTTTTTAAAAAATTTAACTATGTTTTCTTATTAATCTTTTACAATTTCATATGATTCATTTCCTCTTCTCTTTCTCTTATTAGTCATAGAATAAATATTTTACCAAATTGAAAACTTAAACATTATCGTTGTTGATTGAAATTATTTCGATTTGTTGCTTAATAAATTTCGTAAAACATCAATTATTAAAAAAAAAACTGTGTTCTCAGCTAGGTGAAATTGGAAATAATATATTTTCATTTTGGTAGTAGTGTATATTTATATCATTTTTTTTTGCGAATCCCTTAGAATTTTTTATATCTTCTTTTCGTAAACTAGTGAAAAAATTTTCTGTCACGAAGAATTATACATTTAAAATTAACAATTTCAAAAATTATTTGTCCTGTTTGGAGAATACCCTCTAGATATTTGTAGTTTGAAAACTTCATCAATGTACAACTTTCTGGGAACCTATTATAGTTGAAATACTTGTCTGTTGATATACCATGATTTTGACCCGTTTTTAGTCATGGTATATTGGTGTTTTTACTACTATTTATTATATTATAGAAGATTTTAAGCATATTTATATTTCAAGGAGTATTTTGGAAGAAAGTGATGTTTTGGATCATTTTTGAGAGAATTAGAAGAATCGTTCGATTTGGAATCGACTACGAGGTCGACACGGAGTGACTCGAGTCGATTGACATGCACCTTGCATAATCGATCGATTACCAAGAAACAGAGGCCAATTCGCCAATTCACTTGAAGCCCAATCATCATCAAATGATGATTTTACCCGTGACGAGTTTTAACCTAAGTTTCTTTACCTTGCCAAAGTGTTAGAGGCAGAGAGAGAGAGAGAGAGAGAGAGAGAGAGAGAGAGAGAGAGAGAGAGAGAGAGAGAGAGAGAGAGAGAGAG